TCCGATGCCTCGTGTGATGAGAATGACGCTCTTTGCACAAATAAGCCATAACAAAAAACAACGTGAGAGATATCCGAACATGGCCTGTTGCAAGTCAAATATACCCTTATTTTCCCTCGGCAGTGAAATTTCTCACGACCTTCATTACAGACGACCTTTTTTTACAGGATCTACCTATCGTATTTATTGTTTATTTGTTCTCGTCCAGGACATGCATGAAATAAAATCCACGAATATTGGTTTATACCACAAGGAGGAATTGATCAGCGTAGTTTATTATGTGTTCATTTCAAGATCTTTTGGGGGGTATTTGGGGGTAAAATCGGAAAAAAACCAGTTCGGATCGACCGTCCTTCACGACGTTCGGCTCTGATATTTACGTGCCGTCATCATTTCCGTCATTGCACGTCTGCCCGGCAAAATTAAATTTTATTTCGTAGCAGATACGGAAACAATTGAAATCAGGTGTGGTTCACATCCCGTATTAGGCACGGACCATTTGATTTTCCGTGGGATGGGGCTGGGATTGTCATGCGCACCTGGAAGTTTTATCATTCAATGTTTTCCCTATGTGTTCAGTACACAAAATTTATTTCCAAAATTTTTGGAGGGATTGGCAAAACTGCTAGAAGTGCTAGACAGATTTATTTTTTTTTACCAAATGAGGGTCAGGATATTTTTTGTAAAAAATCCCAGTCAGTTTTCACTTTATATATCACCATGTAAAGGTATTTATAAACACATATTATTTTGATCAGTGCAATGCATCCAGGGTATAACAATGACATATGATATGATTAGATCACACACGCCAATAGTTTCTGTCGGGAAGACTATTCTTTTGGGTGTCATATTGAGTGGTGGTATTTCGTTTGTGACACACTTCAAAATGAACTTAATACCGCCTTACACCAAAACTATATATCTTCAAATTATGAACCAAAGTATATTTCGCGGGTATTTTCTAGTTTTAGTTTTTTTAAGGACTTTGATATTCACAACTTTATTCCTTCCTAGTTTGAAATTATAGAACCACCTGTTTTTATCTTCAGTATGAAAAATAACAGTAGGTGTTTTAGTTCTTTATAAATGCATTTACGGACCTGACCCTCAACGAGTTGTTGCAAGAGAACTTGAGGTGTCACCAAACACCTAGACAAAAATTGTATTTGTTCGTTTAATTCTTTTTGAATTTGATAAAATATCTACTTAAACTTTTAAAAACTTGAACCACACAATTAATTTCGATCATTGGGAAGCTTTATATTTCCTTTACAAATAAAATATGATTAAAACGATAAGCCGATTTTCACAGAATGATGACCCCATAGTATTATGTACCACCTGTATGTGCAGAAAGCGTGATACTCTCTTCATGAGGCATCGGATTTGTCGTCCCGCTTCTGATCAAACGTGACTGCGTACTTCATCACTTCGTTAATTTTACGGACGCCATCACGAGTTGGTTGACCGTTATGGAATAACCGTTTCACAGATGATATCGGATATGTTCCTTATGACGTAACTACAATACCCTTCCCTTTTCACGAATGTGACCTACCGAATAAGACTATTTACCGGATTTGTAAAAACATAAGCAAAACGACGGGTGCCACATGTGGTGCAGGATCTGCTTACCCTTCCGGAGCACCTGAGATCACCCCAGGTTTTTGGTGGGGTTCGTGTTGCTTAGTCTTTAGCCTTCTATGTTGTGTCATCTGTACTATTATTTATCTGTTTGTTGTCTTTTTATTTTTGGCCATTGCGTTGTCAGTTTGTTTTCAATCTATGAGTTTGAATTTCCCTCTAGTATCTTTCGGCCCCCAAGGGTGACTGGGGAATAGAAGTATGGTCACCATTGGTCTTCCTCCGACCGGCAGTAAAACCCGTGCTAAAGTGGGGCGTCCGTTTGGCTGTGCGGGATGTACAAATTTGCAGCCACGTCCGGTCAGAATGGGGACGTTAAATCCGATGCCTCGTGTAAAGAAAGTGCCACGTTCTTTGCACGTTAAGAACCCTTGCAACAACTCTTTGAGGGGTCCGTAGGTGACCTGTTGCAGGGCTAAATTTCTGTCCCTATCCAATATACCCTCATTTCCCGTGGCAGTCTAAATTTCTCCGACCTTAATCCCTTAATCTATTACATAACCTACCTATTGTATTTATTGTGAACTTGTTCTCGTCCTGAATATGCATGAAATATTTGCCACTGGACGTTAAGCAACCAACAATCAATCAATCAATCATAGTATCTTTCGTCCCTCTTGTACATCCCGGATAGTCAAACGGACGCCCCACTTGGCAATGGTTTTAATGCCGGTCTGAAGATGACATGTAGTGATCATATTTCTTTTCTCCAGTCACCCTTGAGGTCCAAGCCTAATGAAGAAGGGAATATACAATTGGCTGTTTATTTATTATAATAGTACTTCCGACATTCTATTCCTTCTTTGTCACTTTGTTCGAATCCAGAAAAAGAGCAGTTCACTTCGTTTTCAGGGTAAAATAAGCTATTTCTCCATTGACTATATTTAAAACTAACTCGTCAGAATAACCTAGACATAGTTGCATCCACGAACCAACACACAAATTTTAACTTGAAGATCGAACTTGAGATTTATTAACGCTTCCTATTTAAAAAGAAAACCACGTGGCTACTAATTTAAAACAAATCCACAAGTGTAAACGAGACTGCCTGGAAGCTTTATGATAGAAATAAATGTTGCGGTACACGAAGCGTCAGCAAATATAATGTAAAAAACAGAGAGCAACAGTCAATTAATAGTCAAGTAGTATGTAGAGATTTTGGTAGCCTACTACTTGAACACTATGTAGTGAGATTTGTCGTTGCACTTACTGTACAACGAGCGTATGGACAAGTGTCCTGATCAAGTGGTGGTTAAAACCACTTAGTTTTTATATGAATAATTGTTGAATTGTAATGATTACATTCTTTAAATAGAAAGGAAATGCCAGAGATACTTTTTAAGTTTATTTATATAAATGTATTAGACCAATTTATTGAAAAGTTTTCAAAGGATGATATGTTTAAAAAATTGTCAACCGAATATTACCAGTGACCAAATTAATACTGGTTATCTGCAGCTATTCTAAACTCTTTCTTAGAGAATATGGCGATGCAACCTCTAACCATTTTTTCAACTTCGTGAAAATCAATAATTTTAATCCGAAAAAAAACTATTTTCAGCACTAAATTACTATTTTAAAATCAGAAATAGAAACATCGTCATGTTTTTATTCAATTGATAACCCCAAAGGAGACTGTCAATCTTGGTTTTTCATCCGACTGGCAATACAACCGTGTGGAGCGTGCGTTTCACTAAGCTGGAAGTACAAGTACGCAGCCACGTCCGATCAGAATTGAGTCGTTATATACGATTCCTCGTGTAGAGATGGCAACGCTTTCAGTGTAAAAAATGTAATAGTGACGATTAAAGATCAAAACGCCATCATGCGTTGACAGTTATCGCATGCATTGGTTATCACATATTCAAACTATCAACAAATTTCTTGGGTAATACGATTTTGTAAAATTTTGACAGCAGAATGATTGGTTTATGGCTTTTCCTTTGTGTGCATTGACAAATATTAATGCAAATTGTTGACGAGAATAAAGTAACAGTATATATAAAATAACTAAGACCTGTAATAATGGTTGACTGAAATGAAGAACAGAAAATTTGGAATGCCACCTAACATTGAGGGTTACTTGAACAGAGATCGAATTTGACCTCATAACAATCAATATACGGATCCTCTTATCAAGTTGAACATGCAATTCTTTCAGTGGATTTACACCATAAAAAGTGACAAATAGTTTATGCATGTTCAGGACGAGAACAAATGAACAATAAATACAAAAGGTCTTGTAATAGAGGCCGTCCCGGATACAGGTCGGGGTATTAACAACTGCAACCGAGAAATTAGGGTAGATTAGATAGGGAAAGAAACTTAGTGTTGACATGAATATAAATGATATGGTCATTTATATAAATTTCCTGATTTTCTTATCCCAGGCATAGATTACCTTAGCCGTATTTGGGACAAGATTTTGGAATTTTGAGTCCTCAATACTCCTCAACTTTGTACTTGTTTAACTATTTTGATCTGAGCGAGTGTCGCTTGTGAGTCTTATTGAGACGAAACGCGCATCTGGCATATTAAGAGCCAGTCTGCCATAAAACCATGCAAAATCCCAAATTTCGTCCAAATTGGTAGTTACAACTTGCCAAAATTATATATATTTCCAAAAACTTTAGGTATTCAGGAGTTAAGATAAACAAATTTTTTTTGTTAATTTGCGCTATTTTCCATTAAACCGCCTAATTTGCATATTAGTGAATTATTTTAAAAAATGGCTAAAAAATACACCTTATTTAGGCACTTTTTAAGGGTCTGGATAATTGATATAGCTCTTAAATGAAATATTATTTTTATCATATTTTGAAGGAACATTAGGTAATAACCCAAAAAAATAGCTTTTTGAGAATTTCAGACCTTTTGGCAGGTTGCCAGAAATTTCGCGCAACAAATGTAATAAACAACTTGTATATACTACATGTACTCAATAGCAGTTCTCTCTCAAGATCATATATTGTATTCTTAACTTTTATAATATTTTGAAAGGTGTATATTAGTTCTAAGACAGGTAAAAAATTTTAGCTTGGCAAATAATGGAAAATTGATCAAAAATACTCTTAAAATAACCATAAAATGCAATAATTCTAATAGTTTTTGTTTCTTGTTATTTAACTAAAATTGCTTAAAGTAGGTGGTAATTGGGCTAAAATTGATTTATCTTATGTTGAAATTTCTGGCTAAATGTATGGTTTTTTTCTTGTAATTTGCAAAATTTAACATTAAATTACCCAAAGGTAGCCTCAATGTTATTTTTGTGATTAAATTGTCTCCCTTAGTGGCAATCTTTCACTGGCAATATGGCAGCTTCCAGTGATGAAAAGTTGACGTCTCTGTTCGGTCCGATTTTTTTATTCTTGGAGGTTGTTGTGGACAATCAAAGCACTATACAACTCATCTGTTAGACAAGGTTTATCTTTGTACAAAGGACACAACCACCACCTTGAATTTATCCACAGCACTGAGGGCAGTGAGGCCTGTTTATCAAACTTTTCACATGTTCCAGGAGGACTATTTTATACACATAAGTGACATTGTTTTCTGTTGATCGTGCTGCTATAAAATTGTCAATATGTCCATGCCGATGGCACAGAGACTTTTTTTGGGATATATTGGCGGGACTATTCAACAAAGTGTGGATTCAAAGATCGTCCTGCTAACATTAAGGCAAAACTCCAAAAGGCGAAAAGCTGATAGTGATGGAGGAACCACACTAACCCTATCATAGGAATACTGACTTTTGTAATGACAACTAATTCCAAAAGGGTCAGGTAAACTACAAAAATAAATTAGTTAATTATGACAGGGGTGGATCTAGCCAAAAGGAGGGGTGGTGGTTCTTAGCAGGATAAAAAGGGAGGTTCCTCCATGTGTCCCTATTCAAAAGCATTAATCAGCAAAAAAAGGGAAGGTTCTAACCAACTGGTCCCCAGTCCAAATATATATGACGTCTTGAAAGGCTATTTTATTTTTTTTTGCTTTGACATGTTTGACGCCTTAATGCAACACAGGCGCCATAGGCATAGCCAGTAAATAAAATGGCCTTTCAAGGCGTCATAATTATTTTGACCACCGGTCCCTCCCTGGATGGATCCACCACTGTATTATGAAAAGATTCATTTTTAAAACTGCCACATATGCATGACATAGTGGCGAGGTATATAATTATGTGATACAATGAACATATATATACATGTATATGGAAAAAGTCATTTATTTCTAATACATGTAGATATGTGATATATGCAAGACGCACAACCACCATCCAATTGTGAACTGTAAATTACCAGAAATGAGTCATTAAATATAAAAAAAAAAAACCTGCACTACATGTACATATATTTGGTGTCATGAGTTACCTCCCATCATTTTTAAACAAAAGCTGACTTCTACAAGATCTTAAATATTATGCAATTTTTTCCTCAAAACAAAAATTTTTTTTTTTTTACTTCTACAACATGTACAAGTCAGAAATATACCTAAAATGTTTATCTTTTTGGGCCATGCATACATATTTAAAAGTTAAGAATCCACATGACAATGTTAAAAATTCCTTCCACAAACACTTTTTCATCAACAAAAAATATGAATAAGATCCTAAAAAAACAGAATCATATGAAATTAACCATTTTATGTAAGAATGTAATATGTTAATAAATTGTAAAAAAGATTCTGTATAAACAATTGATTTACTTGAAAACCAGTATTAAAAGATAGCTTTTGGTATTGTTATGCATCATACAAATATTCATGGTAACTTATTGAAAAGGTTTGCTACAAATCTTAAAATACTGAAACATCACAATCCACTGAACATTATCTGACCTGAATAAGTCGGGCACATTCTGACTTTATAAAATCTAAAAATACTGTTACTCCTGTGTAAAAATGCATAATCTGACTTGCATAATAAGTCTTGACAATTCTGACTTGTTTATGTCAGATCTCTGACTGTTTTTGTAAATAAATTAGTTTTAACCTTTAATTTGATAAAACAGATTTGTCTATTATAATTTATTCACTGGCATCATGCCGTAGAACAACAGGTTTATAAATTGATTGATTGTTCACACCTGAAACATTGTTCATCTGGACATTGACATGATCGTGTTTTATTGATGTTTTTAGTGTGTATGGTATCATTGACTGGCTGCATTATTCCATTTTTCACAAAGGCATACATTGTAGGTCTCTGCAAGCAGTGTTTTACCAAGATTAGACAAACAGTAGCTGATGGAGGAATCATAGTTGATACAAAAAAGATTATGGTAAGAAAACATACATGTATGAGAATGTTTTTGATATAAAAAAAAAAGTGATTTGAATTGATTGCAAATGTGACAATGCTCCACAAGAAACTAGATGACATAAAATTAACAACTATAGGTCACTGTATGGCCTTCAACAATGATCAAAGCCCATACCGCATAGTCAGCTATCAAAGGCCCAGAAATCACAAATGTTAAACTATTTAGAATGAGTAAAAATATATACAAAACAATGAACGAAAAACAAATATGGGATACAGCAACAAACAACAACCACTTTGAGGTTAAATTCGTTTGAAGGCACCAACCCTCATCTAACCTGGGACAGTAGTGTACATGTATCAGTACAACATAAGAAATCAGTCATGTGTCAGTTGAGGCTTAACTCATCAGATTGACACAAAGCATAAATACATCTAACAAAATCAGAGATCGGATGTGGCATCCCCACATGGTTTATTTACAGGGGCAATTGAAAGGCATTTTGAAAATTTTAAACTGATTGTTAAATGTACAGATACATTTAGTGGGAAGGGGTGGAGGTTAAGGAATCATGAGACGACCAGTGGTAAAATTTTTAACCATTACCAAAAAAATGATAATGTCAAAAATATTACTGTAAATTCTGAAATTATTGCGATGTTTTTATTATCGCGAAAAGTGCGACAGGGTTATAATCGCACTAATTTAAACTCGCATTTTGAAATTTACTATATGAATCAAACAGGATTTTTCTGAATATTGCAAAAATTAAATTCGCATTTCAGTCTAAAATAACATTACAAAATCGCAGTTATTAATGCACGCAATAATTTCTGAATTTACAGTACTGGGTATAGCTTTGTATTAGTTTTATCATGGACTTGGATTCAATCAAGGACCTCATATAATGACATATTAGAATTTCCTAATTAACATTTATAATTAGGTCATTATGACCTACATTTTCACTTAAGTGACACTAGATATAGTCATGAAACATGTAGTATAGCTATGATATTTGACCAGTGGATAGGTTTTGGGTAGAGCAATAGGGTAAATGATAAAAATTAGATCACCTTGACCTACATTTTCCACATGAGTGACATGGTTAAGTTTTTGCATTAAGGTCAATATCTCGGGTACAAAATTGTATAGCTTTGATACTTAACCAGTGTATTGATTTTGAATAGTGTAACATGATTCACTTTTATAAAGGTAATGTTGACCTACATTTTCCACTGGAGCAACTTTGTTAATTTTGTTTGTTTGGGTCTCTCTGTATGATAATAGACATGGTATTACATTGATACTTGACTATAGCTAGTGGATAGATATCTTGGGTAGTACATGGTTACTATTGATAAGGTCACTTTGGCCTTCAATTTCTGCATGAATGGATTGGTTAAGTTCATGAAGTTTTTGCATTAAGACATTGAGGTTTTATCAGATATACTAGATGTGGTAAAGCAATGATTTTACTCCACCAGTTGAGATATCTTATATATTTATTTTCATTGGGTCCCAACCAAATAGATTTCATAGTTATCTCATATATCATGGACATTGTATATTGAGAATTCATTTATCTTTGATTTAATAAGGGATATATTATTTTTTTAAAAGTACATTTGTAGATTTATTTTTTATCTTTTTAGATGGAGATGAAAGCCAAATTAAACATACTCAGGTTCTCATAGGAGTATATTCAAGAGCATCAACATCAATAATATTTAGCATCAGATTGGGAAACAGATAACATTTCTGACCGGGAAAAACTCAACAGTGGCTTGCATTTCCTTTGAAATGGAAAGTATCCACCATTTGGGAACCAATTGAATCTGGAATGAGATGATGTATCAAAAAGTACAATGGCTTTTTCTACAAAATCATCATCAGAAATTATTGATTTGATTTTGAATTATATTGTACCTGCACAATACAAGTCGATAAAGTGCTCTGATCTGTAGTAGAAAAGAGGAAAACAGACAAAACACAGTCAATATTACAACAGGGTGTTTTGACTGAAGCTCTTATTGATGAATACTTACTAACTTAGACCTGAATAGTCATCCGACCTGGCTTCAGATCTTATCACTGTTTCCATGTATTCAGACCGTTTTGCTTGGTTTCTTTTTATGGCAGACTTCGCTAATATTATATGACAGTAAAATTATAAGCAAACAGCCTAAATAACTCTATAACCATTTTAATGAAAATGTCTGCACCACAGTTGAACCATTTATCTGTATATTTGTTTTTATTCATGTAGGTATAAAATAAGTTTTATTTCCATTTGAAATATTTTTGTTTGTCTGTGGTAGTAATAGGCTAACTACATCTTACATGTCTTATTCACATGCCTCAAGTTATTGAAGATTACATACTATGAGGAAACTTAACATTGTTGTTATGTCGACTGTTATCACAGAAGCTACATAGGGATCACTATCTGTCATTCATGTCAGCGTCACAAAATTTAAGTAACACTTTTCTCAGCATCTGCTTGATATTTGACAAAAAGCTTATAAAGATTAATTCCAATATAAAAAAAAAATGGACCCCCTTTTCTAGGTAAGAAGCACCCAGTCTCAATTTTTATATGTGTATGTAATATCATCAAATACAACATGTATTTAAATATCAAGACTGAACAAAAGTGGCCATATCCATTTTAGACAACAAACGTCTAAAATTAGCACAAATGCTAAAATTGTGAGGATTTCAGAAATTTTACATAAATTAATGATGACAGTACCTGTTGAATGTTCATTGTATTGTAAAAAAACAGCCCATTAAAAAATGATTTTAAAGTAACTGAAGTATTCTACTTTTGAAAAGTGACTTTAATAAGTAGTGATAAGTTAATACATGTAATTGAAAAAATGCTAAATTTTGGGGCTTAAAAGGGGTCTTACCAGGCCTACTTCTGTAGTATATTTTCAATTCAAACTAAGTTAAACTGAGTTTAATCAAACAAGATAAGCAATAAACATTATATCTGTCATTATTTTCTTATATTTTTACTATCACATACATTTGTAAAGTTTCTCTTGTAACCAATAAAAAATTCATAAATACGGCAAAATTGCCATCTTGTCCATCTTAAATTGTTATTTTATCGTAAGAAGGTATCATTTGCCGAGCACCATTTTCTTGCATTTTGTAGATAAATATATAAGCTTCATGCTGTATTACATTCTATTAAAAACAAAACATGATCTTACAAGATTCAGGTCTTTAAAAAAGACAAATTTTGCTGAATCGGCACTTTTTTAAAACCATGCAATATCAACCTGCCAGTAGGGGTATTGAGAAATGTCTAAACTTTGAAAATTATCCTAATTTTCTTTCATTTTAAGTTGTTTGTTAAGGTATTAGTTATCATTAAGCTGCAATTTTTCTATAATAATACAAAAAACCAGGTCAAAATACCCTAAAATAGGCTTAAAATGGCATTTTGGTAGTACAGAAATGGACAATTATCAAATGTTCTGCATACACAAATAATGGCTGAATATTTTTTCAAAATATTTTGCACAAATAGTTATTACATATAAGGTATCAAAAATACAAAATATCAGTCTGATTGGATAATTTTGGATTCGGACCATGATTTTACCACAGACTGGATCTTAAAAAATAATCGTGGTACCTTTGATAAGTATTTACACCACTGGGTCCATACAACTGCCGGTGGACGTTTCGTCCCCGCAGATATCACCAGCCCAGTAGTCAGCGCTTCGGTGTTGACATGAATTTCAAATATATGGTCATTTATATAAATTTCCTTTTTACAAACGTGTGGATTTTTCAAAATACTAAGGATTTTCTTATACCATGCATCGATAACCTTAGTCGTATTTGCACAACCTTTTGGAATAAACATTTGTTCAGAGGTCATTATAATTCAATTGCATTTTTTACAAAGATATCATCACCAACATACATCGAAATCACAATCAAACTTATGAATGATAAAGTCATATTTGATATCAAATAGTTCTCTCAAATTCCTCAAATGCAATGTACATCTATATCTGTACATAAACATGACATGTGTTGCCAAGAAATTCAGTTTTTTTCAATACCCCGTCATCGCGAAGGGAGCTTTAAGTGTGACCCTTGTCTGTCGCGTACGTACGTCACCAATATAGGTTTCCGTTTGGGTTGCCTCAACCAAATGTTATAAACCTATACACAATACTTATTACCGCGAAACACAGATCAAGCCGAAATTTGGTGGCGTCAGATGATAAGTTCATAAGTTATGCCCCTTCATAAACATCTAAAATGCTGAATTTTTCGTTTCCGTTCTCAAACCAAATGATATGAAACTCTTACGCAATGCTAATTCCACAAAACACAGATCTAGTTTGAAATTGGGTTGCGTCACTTTTACTTTTCTTGTCAAAATGAGTTATACTCCTTTTTTTAAAGAAGAAACTGCTAAATTTTTCGTTTCTGTTCTCCAACTCTAGTTTGCCTCAACTAAATGTTATAAAAAAAAACCACACTTAAATATAATGCTTATAGGTACAGAACGCCACAAACCATCGTTTCAATCTGGCGCATTTATCCGATTTCAATATGGCGTCCCGCATCAAAGAATGTTTCCAGCATACCGAAAAGACGCGTCGGAAAATGGTCAGTGATCACTTAAACCAAATTAATATGACTGAAACATCATGTAACAATTAACGGTCAGCTATAAACATTCCTGAAGTGTAGAGTTCTTGAGAGAGACGAATTTTTGAACCGTAAGTTTTACAACAAAGGCTGATGGACCGTTGTGAATGTTTGCAGGGAATAAACCAAGAATTTTTTCTGACACAGTATATAGACAATAATAGTGCATTGACTTGACATATCAACGATATAAGGATGAGGCTTAGAGCCTCGCATTTCCCCGTTTCTAAGCCTCATCCTTATATCGTTGATATGTCAAGTCAATGCACTATTATTGTCTTTATACTGCAATCTAGAAAAAAAACATTTTCAATTGTTGTTTAATGTGTAAATTTTATTTATTTGATTTAAATATTGGGAAAAATCCCCCTTTAAAAAGGCCTCATACCGGTATCAGGCGGAGAAATAGACAACGCAATGAAATGTACATTACCTGTTGAAACCCGCAATCGATGGTGAACGAATTCGTTTGAATATGGACTAAACTATCAACAATAAGCATAAAACATAATGATTTATAGGTTTCAAACAAAAAATATTTACAAGTGAAATATGTTTTTCCAAAAATTGTAAAAGAAATAAGTTTGGGTCGTTCCACGCTTCATTGTATTCATTGGAAACAAGAACAGGTTGAAGAGGTCGTATGAATAATTAAATATAGTTTCGGCAACTTCTATTTAAATATTCATGAGGAAAAGTGATATCGGGTCAGTGACTGTATATGACATAGAAATATACAGTCAACGCATTTTGACTGCTCAAATAGAACCACTGTGTATCATCGCCACCGGAAATTGGGTACTAACGAAGCGGAGAGAAATGGAAAAAAAAGTAAACAAGGTAAGAATTCATCCAATTTAAAGCATTTCTACTGATTTGACGAGGGTACCGCTTAAGAAATGATTTTCTGATATATAATTCTTTAAATTATTAGGCCGATAAGTACAAAATTAAGACAAGATTTTGTGTTATACTCCAAAGCTTGCCAATTAGTACCTGAAAATTTCGAGGTCGATTGTCCTCTGTCGCCTCATTGGCAAGATATTCAACTGTTTTTCATTATTTTTCCAGACACGTTTTTAGATTATGATAGTGTGACATCATATTGACTGAAATCTGTTGTCATAAAGATGTTTTTAAAGAATATGGACCAAAACATTGTTTGTTTATTGTACGGCGAATTGCAGGACGTTGTACGGCGAATTGCAAAATAGCAACTTTTGTCTGTACGGCGTCTTGCAATATATTGTAATTTAAAGATGAAATTTATCACTGTTTAGATAATATCAAGTGATGAAATTTTGGCTGTATCAAAGCTTTACCGGCTTACAAATATACAAAATAAACTACTTATCTGAAATATTATAAAATATATGCCGTTAATTTCGTTCAGAAGTCGTCGTTGCGTACCTCTATTTGACTTTGTGTTTTTAAAGACAAAAAGGTTTTTTTCAACCATATTATCCTAAATACATTCATATATCGTTATAATACTAACGACTGTTGTCTTATTTGTTGTCAGGGTGAAATTTTGTAAGTTCAATAAAAAACCCGACCATTCATCTTTTGTTGGTGCTGTTTTTTTTTTAAATATAAACAGTGGAGATGTTGTATGATTGCAAATAAGATAACTATCCACCAGGGTCAAATAAAGTGTATGTAAGCAATTATATGCTATCGTTTGGCCTTCAACAACGAAAAATCGTACCTTACAGTCGGCTATAAAAAGCCCCGACATGAAAATTGTGGAAGGATTCAACAAGAAAACTAACGGCCTAACTCATAACAAAACAATTTACGAAAAATAACAAATACGATAGAGATGAACCAACGACAACCACCAAACTAGGCTCGTGGCTTCGGACAGACACATAAAAAATGTGCTGGGTTAAATAGATATAGGAAGATGTGGTATGAGTGCCAATGAGACAACTCTCCATCCAAGTCACAATTTATAAAAGTAAACCATTATAGGTCAAGGTACGGTCTTCA